CTATCACTATGAGACCCTCTACGTTCATATAGGCCGTCGACCCCCATGAGGCCGTCTACCACCATGAGGCTCTCTACATTCACATAGACAGTCTACCATTATAAGGCTGTCTACCACCACAAGGCCCTCTACGTTCACATATGTCGTCTACCATCATGAGGTTGTTTACCACTACAAGGCCCTCTACATTCACATAGGTCGTCTACCACTATGAGGCCCTCTACGTTCACATAGATCGTCTACCACCATGAGGCCATCTACGTTCACATAGGCCGTCGACCCCCATGAGGTCTTCTACGTTCACATAAGTCGTCTACCACTATGAGGCCAATACTACACTTAACCATACAAATGGCAATGAGTTGGACAAAAACTACCCAATATCGAACGTGGGTACAACCAACCACTTGAAGAGTGGGGATCACTCTACCAGATCGTAGGGAAAGTGGAGAGGTTTAAGTGGGACACGTGGTACCAGCAACCACCGAACGCGTAACAACATGTGCCTATAAATACCTCAAAGGTGAGAAAGGTAGTGGCTTCTTGAAACCCGAACTATTTGAATTCCCATATTCACTCTGCTTACTTCCTAAAACCGACTACTGATTCTCACGCCGGAGGTACAACGGGAGAAAAAGTCCTGACCTCATTTTGCAGGTAGCATACACTGATTGGAGTGATCGGAACACCGCACCCGTTGAGGTGAGCACAAATGATAATCTTGCAAATATTTCAGTTTGTGTGTAGAATATTTTATTGGGTGAATGTGTGATGAAAAATCTTACTGTAGCAAACAATTTTTTGGAATAATAGTAGACAAACAGAGGCTAAGAAATCAATCTGAGGTAATCACTATAGAGACTCACCCTTTTCATATTGTTCATGAAAAAATGACTTTCCTTGAGCACATCACAGGCACATGTAGTCAGCCATTTTCTTATTCGATAGATATATTTTCTCCATATGCCTCAGTCGCAAGGAAACTCTGTGCTGCAAAATTATGTGGATTATCCCTTCCAAGATTTTGTCTAACAAAACCTTCAAGGTAATATGATTCAAGTATATTGAAAAAAGCACGTCTCCAGAGCGTCATATAACTTTTTTAGTCTCCAATGCGTACCAAATTTTTTAAAACTAGAAAAAGCTGAGGTCTTTCGATGTCTTCTTGCATAAATTAAGGGAACAAGGACTTATATGGTTAAGGCAAGTCAATATTCGTATGTATACACTGATACACACATACTTAGGATACAGCTACTTATGCATGGGAATGTGAACATTTGGTAATGATACAAAAAGTATGTTACTTATTTGAGAATTTTTGAATAAGTTATTTCTTTTGACATTGAAAAAATAAAATTCAGCGAGACATCTTTGAAAGCAAAGTGTTACTCATAAGTAACTTTTGCCTTTCTAAGCTTAGCCAACTTGCTCATATCAATGCTGTAGCTTTGAAAACGAATATATTTAATAATCTGAAAACACACAAATCAAAATACCCCATATTCAAGAAGAAGAAAAAGATCTAGAAACAAAAAAATACCATAATTTTGTCAATTCCTTTCCCTAGCTGGAGATTGCATTCGAGATCAGTGATAGAGAGAAAAAATTACACGATTTTTTCATAAAAAGACAAAAACAAATAAAAAAAAATGCACAACAGTGCAAATGACATAAAGGCGTAGCCTCATGGCTTTACATACAAAAAGATAATAGTAAACATTTTGTACCGTACTTAAAGTTACTTTTAAACTGCTTTCAAGCACCGTCAATTGTCTAAATATTGTAATAAGTATCAATGGAAGTTGACATTGGAACTATAAGCCATTCCTACTTGCCAATTTGAAGGGGCTACATTCCATGCAATAGTAGTCTCATGGGATGTGTATGAAGTTATCTTGAAAGAAAGGGCTTGCCCTCCAAGAGTGGCAAATGCTTGGTATGAAGCTCCCCAATTGTGGCTCATGCTTATCCACCCTGTTTTGCTTCCCTTCACCCACATTTGGGCTATGTCTCCGCCACCAGCAACGTTCATCACATACACAAGTAGCCAATAGCCGTTCCCTTGAAAGGAGAACCGAAGGCCGCCTTTCCTAACACATGTCACTCTACAAGCAAAAAGTGATCAAAGAACATTAGCAATTGACCATCATGGGCAGTGAAATATATCAATGGAAAGACCGTAAGTCTGACTCATTTTTTAACGATATCAATTCAAAGCTTCCTATAAAAACTTATGTATGTTGTCGTCTGAGTTGTGCTGCATAAATGAGTAGAAGGGGTTGGGTCCAACAAGGGAGGGCGCTCCTTATGAGGTAAGGGGATGATCCCTAGCCCCAAAAATTCTTCGGTTATGTCATATGTACCAACAACTTAATCGGTTTAATTTTGTCTTAATTTATACACAATCAAATTAATTTTTCATCCAACAACTCTTTCTGATTCGAATTTTATATGTGTAGTGCCTTTACTAGTTGAGAATATTGTCACGTAACAAAGTTTAGTTGTAATATTAAAAAGTAAATAAATTGTCACGAAAAAAAGGTCAATGGTAACCAAAAAAAGTACCTGCGGAACATGACAGGTACAATCCCAGCCTTCCATTGAGCAATTTTCATGAATGCTGGCTTCGACATATCGAAGTGCGTTCGTGGCGGATTGCACCAGCCGCCATTGTTTGAGTCTTGAGCCCAGTTGGGCGGGCAAAGGTTGGTGGCGGTAACAGTGGTTATTGGTGATCCTTTGTAACACCACTGCGATTGAACACAACGAATTTGAAAGCACTGTCCACATCCATACCCATTGTTGAATAGAACTGAGCTTAGTGCCGCCGTGTCGGTGCCGTACCCAGTGCTGAACAAGTTTCCATAACCACAAGCTCCGCCTGCGTTACAAAACATCTTCATTAATGATGTTTGGCTAAGCTTAAAAGCAACTTCTTGATAAGTAGATATATATAGACAAGTGATGAAATTGTAACAAATTTTTAATTTTGGTTAGTCAATTATAACTAATTTAAGTTCAATGATCTACTTGAATCAAATCATACCAATGTAAGACTTCACTAAAAAATTAGTGACTACTAGAGTTTTAACCCATAAAAATAAACTACAAAATTTTCTTATACGTTAGTTTTAATATAAATTCAAATATGTTTGACATTAAATTATTTTATGAAAAAAACATAGTAATTGAAAATATATATATTTTTTAATGGATGTTGCTAATTAAGAAAATTTTGAATTTCTAAAATGTAAGTAGACATAATGACGCTCAATAGCAAAGTACGAAACAATCTTTAGTAAATGAAAATATATATTACAAAAAGTTGTTTAGAACGAGGTCGAATTTTTTGAGGAACTCACCCATAGTTTCTGAAGCAGTTTCATCCCCATAGAATGTGGCATGGGCAAGTTGCCAAGCCGTAGGTCGGAATACAGGTGCGTAGTATCCCGCCCTTGCTTTCGTGATCATTGCCAAAATCAAGAAGAAGATAAATCGCCACGAATGAAGTAAAGAAACCATGATTCTTCTACCTTAATTTGCTAAAATTGTTAGCTTTTCTTGAGGAGTAGAATGCGAAATGCAATGCCAAATTGACTTGAAATTGTAGTCTTTATATAGTTTAGGGTCGCAATTAGTGGCTACGTGACCCTCACTAAATATTGCATTTTCATAAAGTCAACACTTGAATTTTTAATAGGTTGGTTTAATTTGAGGGCTGTCCTGTATAAGTTTGTGTCGTACCACGTAGTCTAGTCCTAGAACGTGCTGGCAGGTTTATGTTTGGATATATTAATATTGTTTTTGAACATCCTACATAATTTAATTAATGTGCAATGAATCAAATCTAATTTTTCAGTGGTAATAATATTTGTATTTCAACAATAATCATTGATAGAATTGTTTTATACAAGGATACAAATAAATTCAAGACAAGAAAGACATCAAATATTTGAGATCTACTTGTTACCTAACGATTAGCATATACTGAAAATTAGGATCGTGGGATCCTTTTCTATTGAAATCCATTTTATTGAATAAATCTTTTGCCGATTTATATATACAGTAAATTGACGTAAAGAAAATTAAAAGGCTTCCAATCTATAATCCTTCGATATTTTTTCTCTACGTTCATCCATTATATACATATGCTCCAAAGCTTTTATATGCACATATGCCATTAACATAATGGCTTTAAGTGCAATTTGTATGCAAGAATTTGAAAGTTTTGGACATAACTTGCGTTCAGAAACTCAATGGTTCACGAGATTTTGCAGTTTAATGGCACTAAACTTGGAAAAAGAAAAGGTCCAACTGTTACAAAGGAAAAAAAGAGCGCCAATTAGCTTATGGCTCAACACTGGGACCAGGCCAATTTACCAACCAACAAGCAGACTAATTGACCCATTAGCGGATAGCTTCGTCCATGTAACCAACTTCTTCCATACCACGGTGCAAATCAACTAGTTCATACCATCCATAATTGAGGTGGTGATGGGTTCAGACTGCTCATCTGCTCATCATAGCTCGGCTCGTTCGACTACGAGCCCGTGGGTCCGTTTGATAAGTAAAGGGTCGGATCGAATTCAGCAAGGGTCCGTTTGATAGGTAAAAGTGAAAAAGAATTTCAATTCCATATTAGTTGGGAAATAAAAACCTACTAAACCCATAAGAATTCGTTTTCCCTGAAAACAAAGAAAATATATATTAAAGTGATTGTATCTTGGAATTCGGTTTCCATTTTCACATTACTATCAAACGGCCAAAGTGGAATTTGTTTTCCTGGGATGTGATATTTTATATAGAATTTGTTACAATCAAACATGGCCTAAGTAAAAATTGTCTGTTTCATGAGTCTGCCAATGGGCCTGTCTTACTTTCCTCAACATGTTGTGAAGTCCCTGTTTGTTAATCATTATTTCAAATTTTTTTATCAAACTCATTTTCTAATGCACATTCTCACAGTAAAATATTTTACACGTGTTTAACTCAAAAATTTTCATACTTTTTAACCACATATTTTCAAAAAATTCACTATTTAAAAACCCATTCTCTTAAACTCGTTTTGCTTATTTCTTTTTGCTTTAATCTGTTTTCGCTTGCTTATTAGTTAAATTCAAAACGATTAAATTGTATTGGTTGAAGGCTTTTTAGCGTCATTTCTAAGAGATGCAGTATGTGTTGACATTAAGGCCATTGTGCTTAAGTTTGTGAACAAAAACTCTTTACTTGTGACAGTAAGATTAATTTATAATGCCT